GCGCGGCGCGACAACTGTAGCGTCCGGTATAGACATGGTGAGTGAAGCCGAGAGCAAGATATGCCTCGTCATATTTTCTGCATTTAGCTTTTGAATGACCAGCACCTGCCTGGGTCTGTGCGACTTTATCTATGGCTTTCCTCTTCCCTTTCACAAACCGATCCATCTCCCATTCTAAGTTACGTCCTTTGGCTGTTTACTGTTTTATTTATTTTCTTTTTCTGCTGATGACTTGAAGCAGTGCTGCTTAGACCAATGGGTGTGTGTCATCAAAGTACTACCTTATGCTTTCTCTCGCCGTACTTTAATGTCATACACGATCTGATCTTCAAGTCGAACACACCTCTTTACTCTCGTGTGTCACGTGACCGTGTAATCGCAGCCTCTGCGATTGAAAAATCGCGTTTTTTCATATCGCGATATTATCGCAAATGCAATTAATCGTTCAGCCCTAGTCTTTACACTCTTCGGTCTTCACACGAGGAGGCCGTCACGCGACGGCTGCCGCGACTGCTTGGTGGTAGAATGGCATTAAGGATCTCTTCAGTTTGCTGGCATCCGCTAAGGGACTCTTGGGTTTGGGTGGAGGTGGGACTGGACTGCTCTCTACTATCTGTTGGGGACTCCCTTTCAAAGGGCGACTCCTTGGAGACTTCCTCTCTGTATTCTTGCTCACCAACACCGGACAATCATACTTCAGCAAGGAGTCAGTCGGGAGAATCATGGTTACAATGTGGAAGTGTCAAGAAAATGTACAGAAAATGTTCATTAAATTCATTTTTTAATTTTTTTCCTGTGATGGCAAAGCTGAATTTCACACGATCCTTCAGAAATCATTCTAATATGCTGATTTGCTGCTCAAGAAACATTTTTTCACAATTGTGTGATGGATAGAAAGTTCAAAAGAGAAGAATTTATTCGAAATAGAGATATTTTGTAACATTGTAAATGTCTTTACTCTCACTTCTGATCAATTTATTACATCTATGCTGAATAAAAGTGTTATTTTCTTTAAAAAAAACACTTAAACGCTGTGGCTGTGCCTTTTGCTCCGACAAGAACCACATGTTCTTCAGAAAGTGTATAAATCCTTCCGTTTTGGTTCAGTGGGTTATACAAACCACTTTTGAGCTATTTCCATCGTGTGTTTTGTCATGTTTGCGAACTTTTTTTAACCGTTTTCGTATATTTCCTTGTTCTCCAACAGCTCAACAAACGTTTCATCAGGAAGCGGTGGAAGAGAAGAACCTAGCAACTGTTTAGCTGCGTTCGCCGACTGTAGTGATTGCCGAGCCCCCGGGGATTAGTGGTCAGGACTGTTTTATCTCAGAGGTAATTCTGCTGGATTTTCCACTGTGTCACATTGAGGTTTCGGTTTGGGTTAATGTCACCCTGCCTTTAGCAAATGGGGCTAGAAATTTCAAACATCCCCCTGGGTGTCCAATTTGTATCGCGCTAATTTTGTAATCACGCCAGATTTGTACCATGCCAACAAGTCCATTTATGCAAAGCAAAAACCTGCTAGTTACGTATAAAAAGTTGTTTTTCATCAGGAAGTAATTCTCCGCATCAAGCGGTTGAATTCAGTTGTTGGTTTAATAATATATTACATTTACATTGCAATACGGCAATAAGAATAACAGTGACATTGATAATAAACATACAACATGAAGTACAAAATGACATTTTCAAATTCATTTGTCAATACCTATTTACTTTTACACCCCCATCCTTAATTGTCCGTGCCATCTTTTGTGTCATTTGATTGGTTTAGGGGCCCGATCTCCAGAGAACACCGAAAAGGGCCCCGTATTAGTCAGTCATGGGGATCCAGAGGGAGTTTGTGGTCCACATGCAGTGTGAAGCATCGAGGCATTTCTGCTTTCTCTGGAGACCTTGGATTTCATTAGAGACGAATGCAACCAGTTCGTACAGGAGCGAAATGGTGGGGTGAATGTACACATAAATACACTCATACGCTCCTAAAAGTGAGGGAGGTAGTGTCTCTCTCCCGAATGTTCATTTGCGGTGCTTGAGGTCCTTGTCGTGGTGGCTTTTTCCTCCTCCCTCTCCTTTATCCAGCAGTTTTAGGGCCTCTAGCAAGTAACTCTGGAAGGCTGACAGGGCGGCGCACGTGGCGGGTGTGCCGAAACCGTGGGTGAGGAGGCTGAAGTGGGTCAGGCTGCTTTGCACCCCGGGCTCCAGGCAGGGGGTGGGGTGACTGGCACCCAACGGCGACCTGTCCTGCGACATCAGGTCCACGAACTCCTTGCAAATCTCCCTGAAGACGTGGAATGAGAGGTGAGAGTGAGTTTACCATGCGATACAGGTAAATGTGGTTTCAATAACAGTTATTAATGATATTCAAGTACACTGTAAAATCTAATTAGTTGGGCTTACTTAAAAAAAGTTGTGATTGATCTCATTATTTTTTGACCAGTATATGGACAAAAATTTGGCTAATTTATCACCCTCGTGGGACACACTGGGGACTTCAAACCCCTAATATATGTATAAACTTATATATGAAAAAAAGTCTTTATTATGACTGAAATAACTTATTCCTTTTGAGTAAGTAGAACTATGTGATTGAACCTCTTGAAGATCTTGGCAGATCTAGTACTCACTTGGTGGCCAGCAGCATACTACGTCGTGTGGGCAGCTGATCTGGGTCGGTTTGTCTGCACAGATACTCTGCTGTGGCCCGGGCAGGGAACTCGGTCTCACACACGTACCCAAAGTCCCGTGCGAGATGAACCGCCTCACCTGAGAAGAGAGCGTGAAGATTGAAAAATAGAACTTGAACGTGCTGACTGAACGCTTGAGGTGATAATAGGCTCTCGAACGTTTAAAAATGACTTCGTAGGCACTTATAATTTTAAGTTAACATTCCTGGAAGGTTAGTGCTTCACATTGATATTAACATCTACGTTCTCGCCATAAGTGACTGATAATGTAGTGTGTGTGCTGTGTTTGGGACAATTACTGCAGCAAGTACGAGGCGGTGTCTCAGCAGTAGACATACATAATCTGATAATGTGTATGTGTCTGGTTTTTATTAAATGTTTCAGTACCTTCCACCAGCGCTGTGAGGAGTGTGACATTAGCTGCCTTTCTCCGACCGGCGGGCAGGTTGAGGCCGATCTTCTCCAGACGTTCTCGTAGACAGCGGCCTCCATTTTTCGACTTGGCTCTGAAGGAGAACAGGTAGAAAAGATTAACACCTCAGCTTCATCCTAAACATCTGCTGTGCTTCTTCCTCTTTCCCTTCCATTCACCTGCGCAGGACTCCTCCGAGCAGCGAGGCGTTGAGGCACTCAGGTGGGGCCAGGCGTCTCTGCACCTCTCCAACTGTGACCTTGTATTTAGAGGTGGAGCTGAGGAGCGACAAGCGGCCTGGGACAGAGCAGAAAACCTCTGCGGGGTTGGACACACCGCCCAGGCCCAGGCCTTCTTTAGTGAGGTACAAGGCAGAGACCGTTGAGCCATTTAGCTTTGATGGGACCGGAACTGTTGGAAAAAACAGAAAGCGGTTTAGGGTATGTGTGCCAGAATAAACCCACAGGAGAGTGCGGAGAGTTCTTATTTTAAAGAAAGTGGTGAGATTTATAAAAATGTGATAATTTGTGCTTTTGGATTTGGCCTTCTGTCATAAAACCCTTTTTAAGACGCTCTCCCACAGGTTGACATCTGTTGTCTCAGTGACACTGTGTTTAATTTCTGTTTCTCACTCTTATTTTCAAATGGGTGTTGCTTCTCCATTGGGGGAAAGCTTAATTCCATCTGTTGTGCACACAGTCGTTTTCGCTTGTTGTGCTTGTAATTAAAGTTTTCTGGCTCCTTAAAAATCTGTCTTTTAAATGAACCCACAGATTATTGTGTCAAAAAATAACACAATGTAATAAAATAGCAAACATAACACAGAAAATGAGGCTGTTATCTATTAACCCATTTTAAAGCAGACATTGTATAAGCATTCTAATAAAGATTTTTTCCCCATTAAACCAAGGCACATAAAAGGAATGAGACATAAACCCCCATTCAAACTCTAATAATGATTAGTGCTCTGGGAAGAACAGACTACCATTGGCTTTTAATTTCAGCTCAAGTATTTTTGTAATATCATTCCTAAAAACAACTTCATTTGTTTTCATAAGATTAGTCTGTGTGTTGATGCTTAATCGTGCATTTCCGTAAACATAATTAAAACAAAATCGTCTGCCCTGCAAATCATAGTAGCTGTAATTCATCCTCCTCCAAAAAGTGAAGCCGAATGCAGAATGTATGTGAAGTAATAGTTGCTATGCCACAGATCAGCCATAACTGCGCTCCCGTGTGTGTTTGCGCGATGCAGCGCTTCTCTCCTCCCCCTTTCCAAGCATTGGCACATAACACATTGCGTTACTGTTTATATTATCTAGGCCTATATCCTTTATTGTAGAGGTAAAATGCGCTGTAGTATTGGCTTTCTCCTCCTCGTGGGCGGTGTGCCCACGAGGCACACTGCGCCCTGCTGTGCAGCACTGATTTGCGGACACAAACGAGCTCTGAGCGTGCGGCCGAGGTGCTGGAAGCATCTCACGTAAGCTGTGAGAGCAGATCCGTTTATTCATGTAGGCTTTAGTTTCTTCTCGACACAGAAATCTCCCTACACCCATGAGTACATAATTGATCCATTCTGTTGCTCGGTAAATACGCCAGATTTCATAGAGCACTAAATATATGCAATAAATCTAAAATAAATGCATAAGTAATTGATGAAAATATGCTGTAGGCCTACTGCACTGCAGAAAGAAGCTATCCTTGTTAACTATCCACTCCATTTTTTTTTTCTGGTAAGCGGAAAGGAATGGTGATGCTCTGAATTCTTCATAACTTTATTATCTGCTCTCTTCCTCCATTTCGCCTTTCTCTAATCCCCCTCTTTCTCTCATATGACCATGAACAGTTCATTAACAGGAGCTGCCTTAAGGGTGAAGGCAGAGGCAGAGTGCTACAGGATTTCTTGACTTCAAATGAAATTGCAGAGCTGAATTATTTTGTGCGTGCGTGTGTGTGTGCTTGACTGAATCATTTATGGTGTCTGAGCAGCACATAAAATCTTGAGTACAGACTCTCACCTTTCTTGATAACAGAATGGTCCAGGATCCCCAAAGCGGATGCCTCCTCCATACCCTGTTAAAACAGAATAGCAAAACACTATTACTTCACTTAATTTAAACTTGCTTTATGGTTGAATAGTTATTGATAGTGTGTTGGAAAACACGTGCATTTATTTATTAATTATTTAAATGATTATAGGTATACCATGATACATAGTAAAAAATATTCCGGATTAAATATTGACTATGAACATATTAATTTTATTTGTATAACTATAATCAAAAACTGCTGATTAGATCACACTGAATATTGTTGTGCATATAAAGTAATTGTATTTAAATGATTCAAAAAAGATACCAAGCATTAAAAATATTTTATGTATTTATATATTGTATTAATATATGTTCCTTAATGTATACTATATGTGTAAAAAATATGTTAAGTGGAAGGAATGAGATTTCATGACGTCACATGCATCAGCAATATCAGATAGACAGATAAAACATTTACATTTTTTTCTCCTCAGAAATAAAAGGATAAAAGTTCGTATTAAGACGACGACTTTGGTTTTCTCTACATCACGTTAACTATTGAACTGTAATATGAAAGCAATGAATGAATAAAACAATATAAACCACTCTGAAAATTAACATCAGGTAGCTGTCCATTTAAAGTCGAAGGAATGACCAAAGGGGGAAAAAATGGTATTTACGCCTGTTTGTAGCTTTATGTATGGCAAATTAAACTATCAGGCTTGTTCCCGTCTAACTCAGTTCTCGGAATGCTTCATATCATCAAAGGGAGTCCAGTTGTTTGTTGAATAATTGGCCGAGCAAACCGATTGGACGCGCTGTAAGTTTCCTATGACAGACAGACACGGACTCATTCTGCACCTGCCCACTGCTGTTGTCTTCTGTGTGAAAGAACAAGCCATCATGTAGCTCGAGCCGAAAATCAAACGAATTGAAATCTGAGTCTGAAGAATCTTATGTGGAATGATCAGTTTAATGCGCCAAAGAGTCTCTTATTTAGCCTAAATACCAATAAACAGATAAATTATGTTACGAAGAGACTGAACTGTGTTGTTTACATTTTATGAAAAACAGTTGTAAAAATCTGTAAAATAATTTATATTTATTAAAACATTTG